CTTGGGTGATTTCTAAATGGTTAAGTAAGTTGCTTGGATCAACTGTACAGTGCCTAATATGAGCTCTATTACTAGTGGGGTGACTGACACCCACCACTTAGGAAAAAGAACAATAATTAGAAGCCTGCATGGATATACACCATAACTAAATACTGAAGACAACAAGAAACTTCCTTTATCCTAAATATTTCCATGTCTGAATAGTACATTAACAATATATCAGCCATTCTGAAAAGAAGAAAATATGCATGGTTTTGTAAGATGTCTTCAGTGCCTGGTCAGTTTGCAGGGTCAGGTTTGAGACAGTTCAGAACCTGTGCAGGAACATGTTTGAAAGAAGTTTGTCAAGTCAAAATCTAACACAAAAAATTGTGCAAGTATATTTGGTTACGCAACTAACCTAGAGAAATGGCAATTTTTCATAATGTTCCTTAACATGTATGTGAACAACTCATAATGTGCACAAGTGCCCATAGATTAAGGAACCCAGATGCAGCTGGTTACAGGCTATAATATCACCACCACTGTATAATGAAAAACCTGGATGACAGTCTATACTTCTTTCTTGTTTCTTGACACCTTCTATTATTCTAACAGTATACAATTTTAAGCTTTACCCAGAAGGAAACTTGCTTCAAAATAAGTATTGTGGAGCATGTATAACCTAAAAAAAGGAAAGATAAACATTTAAGTGCTTTATTAAAAAAAAAAACATTATAGAAATAATGTTATAAAATACGTTATTTTTGTGCATGCCATGCTCTGGCAATGATTACTGTTATCAAGGTAATAATTAGCAATATTGCTAATATTATTTAAAAATACTCATCCATGGCTACCATTTGACAAGAGACTTTTCCCATCCTTTAGCAATGGCTGCTTCCTAGCTTTGTCTTGACCATATGTAAATGCTGTGTTTAAATAACAGAATATGGTTTTCTAGAACACAGAACAAACTGAAAATATATGAAATCACTTGATCTACAAAAAATTAAGCAAACAGAAGTAGCCTTGAGCATTACTACATGTTTTATTGAGACAGAATGTTAGCAACACAGAGGTTTTCTCTTTTCATTAAGTACCTTGCAGTTGTTAACGTCTACTATGTCTTCTGAAGCAATGTCCAAATGAGAATTCAGTTTCATGTCTCAGTAAAAGATAGTATCTATAAATCTTGCTTATACAATTTTTCCCTTAAAAATTCCCATTAACTTCCCTCCCTGGGCTGGAACCACCATTAGTAACAACTGTCAAAGTTCTGGAGGAGACAAGGATGCTGTTTTTTTAATCATTGTGGTCTAGACTTGCTTTGTGCAAGGTTAGATGAGTTAGTAGATGAAGCACCATTAGCTATCTGGAGCTTCACCTGCTGAAGCTGCAGTTGAAAACATTAAGAAAAAAGAAAAGAACTAAAGATACAGTTTACAAACTCAAATCCTAATATCAAACTTCAACCCCAGGATCTTTGCCCAGAGGCTACCAGTATGAGTCATGCTGACGCTAATAATCTGTGATTCCGCAGGATGTTGGAATGTAGATAGTATGAGTCTCTTCTAAAGGGAAGTTTCAGGGAACCTAAAGTAAACAGCAAATTTGGCTAACTTTTAGAGTTAGTTGTATGCACCCAAGGGAAAAATGTATTCCATTCCCAGCCTCTTTACTTCCTCCCTTATGGTCTCTGCCCACCCATCCCCCTGACCTCACCCCCAAAAGACTAGAGCAAAGAGAAGCTTAATGACAGGAAATGCCTCAAATACATCTTCTAAATCAGCTAAATCCTTCTAGCTTCTGGAGGCCTTGACTCTCCCTGACTTGCATGGGTTAGTTGAAATTGCATTAAATCTTCTTGCCTACTCCTTAAAACTGTACTTCCCCAGTGCTCAGGGGGAGGCTTTGCTTTTTCCAGGCAATGGCTGAATTTTATTGGATGTCATCAGGATAAGGGGCAACAAAAGACTTATTAGAGAAAAAAGGCAAAGATGGGGTAGAGAAACTACACAAGGAAACAGCGCTTTGATCTGGTCTAGCAGACCTGGGCCACATTTGGGCCTGAGGGAAGCAGGTGCAACTGGCCATAAGTCAGCTTCGCTGCACCTAATTCCCCTTCATCTGATTTTGGGTCAGTCTTCCCATAAAACTCTTGAGGCTGCAGCAAGAAGCAGGGGCTGTACTTTAGGACAATGGTTCTCAAGCTTTTTTGTTCCACCCCTCCCCCCCCACCTTGTTTTTTGAAGGAAAATATTTTGTGTCTCAGGTCAAATTAGCCAGATCAGTTTTGAATCCTTTGAATCATTCAGAAAACCTTATGTGGTCCTACTACTGGCAAGTATCCTCCACCCCAGACTTCAGCCTGGGGCTTCAGATACATCTAAATCGGGGGCGGGCAATTATTTTGGGCAGAGGGCCATTTGCTGAATTTTGGCAAGCTATTGAGGGCCGCATGACAGGCAGCCAGGGGCAGATAAATATTAATTTTCTAAAATTTTTAGGGGCCCCGCAGGCTGGATAGAATGGCCTGGCAGGCTGCATCCAGCCCGCAGGCCACATTTTGCCCACCCCTGTCTAAATCCTTTAGAGGGCATCCTATGTGCAGGCCTAAGCTGGGAGGCTTGGGGTTTGGATGCCCCCAAGTTTTGCTTGCTCTCAGCCGTATGGCTGCAGGAGCAAACTAGGGAGAAATATCCCAGTTCCATTAAGTCAGCGTGTAGCTGAGATCCTCCTATTGGAAGCTGGCCAGTGGAAAGCTAACTATGAGGCTCTCATTGGGAGTCCTGTTCACATGCAGACAAGGGTGCAGGACCCATTTGTAAACATCAGTGGCCAGTCCTGACTAAGTGCCCCTCATTCCTAACCTGAGTTGCTGCCCCCTGCCCTCCGTGTGTGTGGGAATAGGGGTGGGAGTGGGGGACAGAAGGGTGTGTGTAGGGCATGGGGGGGTGGGTGGCAAGCAGCCACTTGCAGACTGGAGCTCTGACAGCCTGCAAGGGAAAAGTCACAATTTCCCACATTTTTCTCCTTTAAAGGAGAATCCATTTTTAATGTTTGTTTGTGACCCTTTCATATATTCTTGCAACCCACTTTTGGGTCACAACCCATAGGTTGAGAAATGGATACAGATGCAAACTGCCAAAGCCCATGGGGAAAATACATTTCTGAGGGCTAGAAAGTGACTGAACAGTTGAGTAGCGGTTCTCAATCTTGGGACTCTCAAGGCACCTTCAGAAAATGACCAGCTCTTTATTCTGTTACAAATTGCTCCAGGAGGCCACAACTGGTCAGAATGAGTCTGACTTTATGGATTCCTGTTTGGTACCTGGGCAGACAAGGATCTTGGGGTCAATGTGGTATGTTTTATTAGATCAACTAAATCAGTGGTTCCCAATACGGTACCCCCTGAGGTTTATTCAGATGCCTGTGCGAGATTGATCAGATTGATCTAAATATTTTAATATCTATTGATCTAAGTACTTTAATATTCATATTGGCATCCGCTGCTTTTTCTTTTAAATTCAAATGTGCCCTTGGGCACATAAACATTGGGACCCCCTGAACTAAATGGTTGGAAAAATTATTTGCAAGATTTTGGGTACAAATACCCTTCTTTGAGGTTTATCTCACGAATCAGGCCTGCGCACCCAACCGCACTAATGCTGCCTAGCACCTTTGAAAGGATCTCAAGGTACCCCAGAGTGCTGCAGCGCCCCCCCTTAAAAAAGGTTGATCATCAGGGATCCTGGTTTTCTGTTTAAAAAAATCCCTGATTTTGGGGTTTAAAAAAGCAACCTTATGTCCACATTTTTCCTTGATTAAAATGAAATGCCTCTAATACATAGATGTATATATAGTATTGTTTCATTTCTATCATGGAAAAATGTGGATTTTGGGTTACTTTTTTTAAACTGAAAATTGGGGATTTTTTTTTTTTTTAATCAGAGAAAACCAGGATTGAAGCTGATCATTCTGGGTTAGAGGCCAAGACTCGTGAATGTCGCATGCCTCCCGAGGCTGGGGGGGCATGGGGACCTCCCACAGGCAGGGGTGGCAAAGGGAACCACTGCGGTGTTGGCAGCGTGGGGAGTGGGGTGTTGAGGACCGACTGTTGAGGACTGACTAGTGATTGGTGAACACCTGCAGATGCTGCCGGCAGCGGCCAGCGATGACCACCCACAGACATCACCAGTAGTGCCAGCCGCGAGGGAGGAGGGTGGCAAGTGGCGACCGCCCGCAGGCATCGCCATCAGCATCGGTGGCAGCCAATGTCAGGGGTGCACGTGCCCCTGCGTGCACCCCCTACACATCACCAATGCCAAGACACCTACTCGCACAGCAGTTCCCACACTGTGGGTTGACCCCAGATGGGTTGGCAACATCAGTGGGTGGGCTCACAGGGGTGGGGGGCTGCGAGCGAGGGACCATGCTGAGGAAAGGGGGCCGTGAGCGGGGTCACGCCGAGGAAAAGTTTGGGAAGCTGCTCTAGGATCTTTGGTTAACTGGGTCTTCCCCAATGCCTGCCTGCCTGTCTGCCTCAGCGGCCACCGGGGCATCGAGCCTGTGCTCCGGGACCCGCGCAGGGCAGCCCCC